TGCTTGCTTGTGCAGCTTACACAGAAAGTCTGTGCCACAGCATCTTCACTTCTATTTTTCACAAGCTAGCTAGAATACAGCTACTGCAGATATGTCTACACGAGTTGCAAATCACACCACGGCTGCAGTGTAAACTACCCTGAGGCACTTTAAATTCACACCTTTAGTTAACCTGGTTTAACTTTCTTGAACTTCCTCAGGTAGACATGCCCTTAGCGGGGTGCTATTGGAGTGAGAAACAGAATTCCTGCAGTACCTGAAAAATGTGGGCATTAAGTGCTGTTTTTTGTGTCTTGAGGAGATTGAAACAGATTGTGTCTATATATACTAATACACCGAAGTAAAAAGTTCTTTGTGGGTAGGCAGTCAGGTTTGGTTGTAATGAAGGCAACATCATTTCACATTGTGTGAACATAGCTCTGTAATCTCTGCACTCTCATCTGTTGATCAGAAGGCAGGCACATACAATGGGGAGGGACAGACTGACATGATTAAATCCCATGTTCCCATTGTTTTATAATCTTGACATTTGGTATATGCATCCATGGACCTCTGAGCACTGGTTGGGGAAACCTTTACATTTTCCATCAAAGGTCACCAGTCCAAAACAGTTTACAAAAACAATACTAATGTCTCCTATGAGGCATTGATGGTGCTCATGACATCTCTAGTTTGGAGGAAATAAGGCCGCCTGAGGTCACTGGTTTTGTTCATTGGATTTTAGCCAAGGTAGTTGTTGAAGAGGGAGTAATTGCGCTGCATGGACCAATGCTGGTATCTGTTTCCATCCGAAAGGCAGACTGCTGTCAAATAGCATTCAGAGATCGCTATTTTCATACTGCCATAGTTGGACATGGATAAAAAATTTCCTCTGGGCAGGCACATTTGTAAAAAAACAATCTCTGTGTGGCATGCATGGATATGTTTATATACATGTATGTATAGACACCAAAACTCATCACACAAGACTCAAATTATTATTTGTATTACCATGCTAGTCCTTAACCAGGACCCCAATGTGGTGGGAGCTGTACAAACACAAAACAAAAAGACAGACCCAGCCCCAGAGAATTTACAATCCAAGTATAAGACAAGTGACAACAGATGGATACAGACAGATGAGGGAGTACCAGGAAGTAGTGAAATGATACTGGGCAGTCTGATCAGCAGTGGTCAGAATAACATTACGGTTATGCCAAAGTCAGGCGCTGGACAAATTCTTTCTCTGGGTGGTGTTACACTCAGGGCTGGTTCTAGGCACCAGCAAAAGAAGCAAGTGCTTGGGGCAGCACATTTCTAGGGGCGGCATTCCGGCGCTGCCCATGCCGCCCCTAGAAATGTGCCCCCGCTCCCCCAGCTCGCCTCTGTTCCGCTGCTCCGCTTCTCCTCCCTCCCTCCAGGCTTGCTGCGCGCCAAACTGCTGTTTCGCGCGGCAAGCCTGGGAGGGAGGGAGGAGAAGCCGAGGGGCGGTGCGCGTGGGGGAGGCGGCGGCGGAGCGGAGGTGAGCTGGGGCAGGGAGCGGTTCCTCTATTGCCCCCCTCATTACTTCTTGCGCTCCCCCCACCCCCACTCACCTCCCCTCCGCCTGCTCCCCTGAACGCGCTGCCTCTCCTCCGCCTGAGAGGGAGGGGGGAGAAGCGGAACAGTGGCATGTTCAGGGGAGCAGGCGGAGCGGAGGTGAGCTAGGGCAGGGGGTTGTCGGGGGGGAGCAGCAGGAAGCATTGGGGGGGGGAAATGCGGCACTCCCGGGGGAGGAGGCGGAGCCGGGGATTTGGGGAAGGGGTTGGGAAGGGGCAGAGTTGGGGCCGCGGCTGGGGGAGGGGCACGAAAAAAAAGCTGGGGCGGCCAAAAAATTTTTGCTTGGGGTGGCAAAAATCCTAGAGCCGGCCCTGGTTACACTTCACCACCTTGCACATCCCGTAGATTTGATATTAACCATATTAATATTTATCCCAATCCTCTTTACTTCCTTTGTGTTCTGATGAATTTGGTATTTTGGTAAATTTGTTTTATTTGGAAAAAAGGAGAATAAAAGTGATAAAACACCCAATATTTTTATATATATATATATCTATATATCTATATCTTTATATATCTTCCGTTCATGTGTTGAAAAGCACCAGTAGCTCTAGGTGCTTTTTGCAGTACCTGAAATAAACAACAAGCAAGAATAAATTCCACACAGCAAATGGCACAAAGCCACCCAGGCTGGAATAATTCTTCCCATATCTAGCCAGGCACATCCTTCAACCCGCCTTCTGCTCCAATGGCAAAGAGGATGAGCTTTGCAGAATGTCCTGGAAGCTAGCAATTCTAGCCTCTCTCACTGCAAAGGGACCAGCTCCAGAGTTGATGTGTCCTCATGGGAAAAGGCCCCACCCCTTTAAACCGGGGGCCTGTCAGCTTTAGCACGTCTGCTAATAGCAGCTGCCCTGATGTGGGAGGAAAGGGAAGAGTGTTACAGGAGCGTGGTAGGTTCTGAGGATGCTGGCTTTTTGTCTTTAGCTGACTCGCTCTTACGTCAGCTCAGGTCATTCCTATTGGGTACAGCAGATGAGTTTAAAGGGCTGAGTGTCTCTGAGGCAGAGGGATGTAGGGGCTGGGATAAAGAGGTCTTGTAGGGGGAACCGTAGGGAACAACCAAGCTTGGGAGCAAGGTAAGGCTGAAAACAACTTTTCTTGTTTACCTTAACAATAAAGGCAAACCTCCAGAAGAGGTGAATGTTTGTTTTATCTTGTCCAGTGTGTATGCATTGTGTTCAGAGCAGATAGCATCATCCTGCTTAGATAGAGGGTCTGTCCGGTGCCAAATCCATTTAGGGCTTCTATAGCCCAAAACCACCACCTGAATCTCAGTCAGGCAGCCAGTGCAGATTATAGGCACTGTCGTTATGTGCTCTCTGTGGCCCTAATTCAGGAAAACATCTGTATTAAAGACAGCTCCCGTATTTCAACCAGGTTACCATGAACAATATCACTTTCCTGAGGATAACACAGGGAGATAAAGAATGGATGTTGCTTGAATGCCAGCAAACACCAGGACCATACGCTGCCGGGCTTTGTCATGCAATGATACCAGATTACTTGCTACTAGCATGGCGTGGTAAAGTGTCCTACCATGGAGGACGGAATAAGGCTGCTCTCCCCAGAAACCTTCTGAAAAGGCTTTTAGAGTACCTCCAGGAGAGCTTCATGGAGATGTCCCTGGAGGATTTCCGTTCCATCCCCAGACACGTTAACAGACTTTTCCAGTAGCTGTACTGGCCGCGAATGCGTCCCAAGTCCTTAGGGCAAATTAATCATTAAACACGCTTGCTTTTAAAACATGTATTGTATTTAAAAAGGTACACTCACCAGAGGTCCCTTCTCCGGCTTGGTTGGGTTGGGAGGGTATTTCAGTCAGGGTGATAAAAAGATCCTGGCTGTCGGGGAGAATGTTGTGCTGTGTGCTCTCCTCAAGCTTGTTCTCCTCCTCCTCATCATCTTCTCTGTCAGCATGGTGGAGAGTACCCCATCATTGGCGTCCACGGACAGGGGTGGGTAGTGGTGACCCCCCCCACCTCCCCAGAATTGCATGCAGTTCAGCGTAGAAGCAGCATGTCTGGGGCTCTGTCCAGGAGCATTCGTTCGATTCTTTGGTTTTCTGGTACGCGTGTCTGAGCTCCTTAAGTTTCATGCGGCACTGTGTTGTGTCCCTGCTGTAGCCTCTGGCCCTCATGGCCTCGGAGATTTTTTGAAATGTTTTGGCATTTCGTCTTTTGGAACGTAGTTCTGATAGCACGGATTCCTCTCCCCATACAGCGATCAGATCCAGTACCTCCCATTCGGTCCATGCTGGAGCTCTTTTTCGATTCTGGGACTGCATGGTCACCTGTGCTGATGAGCTCGCCTGGCCAAACAGGAAATGAGATTCAAAAGTTCCCCGGGGCTTTTCCTGTACACCTGGCCAGTGCATCCGAGTTCAGAGTGCTGTCCAGAGCGGTCACAGTGGTGCACTGTGGGATAGCTCCTGGAGGCCAATACAATCTAATTGTGTCCATACTAACCCTAATTCGAAACGGCGATGTCGATTTCAGCACTAATCCCCTCATCGGGGAGGAGTCCAGAAATCGATTTTAAGAGCCCTTTATGTTGAAAAAAATGGCTTCGTTGTGTGGACGGGTGCAGGGTTAATTCCATTTAGTGCTGCTAAATTTGACATAAACTTGTAGTGTAGGCCAGGCCTAAGCATGTGTTTCCATCCCATCAAAGTCAGTGAACAGAGTTGGGCTCAAGCCTTAAGTGCTTTCCTGAATTGGGATTTAAGTGAAGCCCTGCTCAGTGCAGAATACTTCTTCTTACTCCTGCTTCTGAATGGCCCCAAGCTGAAGCCTGAAGCAGAGAGAGTGTGCTACAGAGGTCTAGTCTTGAATGGTAAAGGCATGGGTAACTCCAGCAAGGTCTGCACCCAAAAGAACCAGTAGTCCTCTTCTCACCAGGTGCTCTTGGCCTCAGCTGCTGTTTGAACAGCCCAGGATCTAGAAAGACACCCCCTCCCCCCAAGTTGCATAGCTGGGTAACAAACAATCCCTCAGTCTGCGGTGCTGACCCTTCCGCTTGCTGCCCGCTGCTCTGTCTCCGTGGGTCGCACCTCGGTCTGCTAGCCCTTACCCTGGCCCTGATCTCATTCAGATACTGAGTCATTCATCCTATTGCAACCCCCAGGGATGTGTAGAGATGCCACAGCCTGTATCTCCCCCTGAGCCCAACAGCCTCCTGTATTCGGGTGAGCAGGAGGGGAGGCAGGATAGATTCCCCTGCCCCCACAAGGCAGCGTACTCTGTTGTTTCTGATGTGTAAATAGCTATACCTCTGCAGGAAGGGTGGGTTGGTGAAGCATGTGGATTACCACACTTGGAGTGGGAGTAGAGTTGAAGATTCTTGTTCATATTTATCTTCACAGCCAGTGAGTTAAGCACTTATGAGGAACTCTGTCTTTTCCTCCCTCCTCCCTCCCTCAGGTGATCTTTGCTTTGAATCAGACTCTCTTGCAGCAGGAGAGCCTCCGAGCAGGAAGTCTCCAGACCCCATATACGACCGAGGACCTTATCGAGCATTACAACTGTGGGGACCTCAACTCCATCATCTTCAGCCATGACACTTCTCAAGTGAGTCTTGCCGCTGCACCCCCTGGTATTTCCCACCTGTCCCTGACTGCCAGAGAATCCCCTGATTCTGCCCTTCTGCCATGCCAGCGTCCTTCAACGGACAGCGCTGCCTCCACTCCGGAAAGGTCTGAGAATTGTTACCAATAAGTGGAACCACTTATTGTTCTGTTTAGTGTGGTAGAAACGGGAAGGGGAGAAATGGGGGGGGGATGTTTCAAATGATTGTGCCTGCCTTCTTGTCAGGCTGCCCCGATTTGGATTTTGGGGGGGTTTCTGTTCCTGTTAATTTGAACCTTTCGTTTCTTGCAACTTGAGAGAGTTAAAAGCTTTGCTCAGGAGTCCAGCCAATCCAAGCATACTAACTAGTGTTAGTGTGACCAGGTACAGCAGCAACACTGGGGCTCCCGGCATGCAAGGGGTTAACTCTGGCTTCCCTAGCATAGGTGTGCTGAGGAGGGGCTGTATGCTTAACAGGCTTTGCCAGGCTCGATATACAGGTATATCTGTCCACCTCCCCTTTGTGGAGGTACAATTTAGAGTGTCAAAAGAGTGCTTTTGCCAGTAGACCGTAAACCATTTCCCCAAACAGAATTAGCTATGCTGGCAAAAGGACATTGTTGCTGGTATAACTGCACATACCGTAGGGATTTAGCTGTGTTGGTCGGGGGTGTGATTTCTTTCACCCTCCTAATTGACATAGCAATGCCAGCAAAACCTTCTGGTGTCGACCAGGCTTAAGAGGGTACGTCTACACTGCAGCTGGGAGTGACCCTCCCAGCCCAGGGTGACAGACCCGTGCAAGCTAGGCTGCTTCAGATAGCTGCGTGGATTTTGTGGCTCTGGCGGAGACTTGGTCTAGCCACCTGAGCTCAGACCCAGGGGCTCGGGTGGGCGCGACAGCCCGAGCTCTCGCCCAAGCTGCAGCATCCACACTGCTAATTTTAGCATGCTAAGCTGTGTGGTTTGTTTTATGCTGCACAGCTTTGCCCCGGTTGAACACCCCTTTGCTGCTCCACTGCCATGTATTCTGCTGAGCTCTCCCTCCCGCAGGTTGCAATTATTTATCTAACACATCGCCCCTTCAGCCTAGAACCAAGGGGTCAGGTTGCCTCTCACTGGGGCGGTGGAACCAGTGCAGTGGAGAGGAGAATCAGGCCATAAGGTTCTTTCCTGGTGATGAGTTAAGAATGATCACCCCCATCCTACAGACGGGGAGAATGAGACAGCAAGAGATTCGTGGCCTGCGTTTCAAATGTGCTGAACACTTCCATCTCCCCTGGATTTGATTTGCACTTGTGGGCTCTCAGCACCTGGGAGAATCAGGCCCTGTGGGACTTGCCCAAGATGACTCAGCAGGTCGTTGGCAGAGGGCCAGATTCTGCATGTGAGAACACTGCTCTAGATCCGGAGAAATGTCATTCGAATTACAGCTGGTTTACACTGGGCCAGATGCTGATCCTGGTTATGCCAGTCAGGAACAGGTCAAAGATCCTCTCACTCCTGGTCTGCTTCTCTAACTGCTAGCTCACACTGCCTTTCCTTCGATAGGCCCCTTCGCAAATGTGGGTAAAGATTGCTAACTGGCTGACTTGAGTGGCTGCTTTTCTCTCCAGCCAGGACCAGAACATGCTCTGTCCTATACTCTAGCTTGTTGCCTGTAGACAGCGGAGTCTTCCCTGGCCTTTTCTTTGAGACAAACAGGATGTCTGACTGTTTAATTTTAGCACCAAAGCTCCGAGAGGTCACTTTTATTTTTTAAAGGCCCCTTTGGCATTAGGTTGTATAAGGGGAGAGTCAGTTTAGTCCCAGTGGAGAGGAGGCCCAGGCTTTTGGTGCGAATAGTGACACATGCATGTGAGCCTCACTTTGGCACCTATGTAACACTGGACAAATCACAAGCATTTTAATGCCTGTATTTCCCCCATCTTGGCAGTGGGGAGCATAGACGTCGACTCCGTGGGTGCTCCGGGGCTGGAGCACCCACGGGGAAAAATTGGTGGGTGCTCTGAACTCACCGGCAGCTCCCCCGCCCTGCCCCAGCTTACCTCTGCCTTTGCCTCCTTCCCTGAGCGCGCTGTGTCCCCGCTTCTCCTCCCAGTGCTTGCCTCCACAAAACAGCTGTTTTGCAGCTTAACAAGCTCTGGGAGGGAAGGGGGAGGAGCGGGAACGTGGCGCGCTCGGGGAGGAGGCAGGGAAGAGGTGGGGCCGGGGCGGGGATTTGGGGAAGGGGTTGGAATAGGGGCAGGGAGGGGGCAGAGTTGGGGTGGGGACTTTGGGGAAGGGGTTGCAATCGGGGGCAGGGTAGGGGTGGGAGGGGCAGGGGTGGAGTTGGGGAGGGGTCAGGGACAGTCGGGGGTCGAGCATCCACTGGTGCCAGCAGAAGTCGGCGCCTATGGTGGGGAGGGCAGTCACCTCCTCACAGTGGTTCATGGATTGGCTACTTCATTTTTGTCAAGCCCTTTGAGCTCCTTGGATTGTTTGCACTTCTAGAGTACGTGCCATTTTGATATATATTCCTATCGCTGTCTTGGGACGGAGCATGCTTTGCATTTAACCGTGCTTTTTTGTAACCTAGTTATTTGGTGGAGACTCATGGCAGCAAAGAGGTGTCTAAGAGGATTGTGTTGAAAGCATGTCAGCGCAAGGGGAGGCGGGATTATGTAGGAGGGCAGAAGGGTGTATATGACCTGATTTGTGTACAGGTTTTGTATGGGTGTAACTCTGTCTGTTAGTTAATAATGATACCAGTGCAATCCTGCATGCAACTTGTATGGGTGTATAAAAGTGTTTTATACCAGTAGAGCTCTTCCCCTTCCCATATGGGAATAGATATATTGGTATAATATGTATGTGTGTACGTAACTGCATCCACATTCCGGCGATGGAGTTAATGCCATACAACTCTGTAGTGCAGACAAGGCCTAAGTAGGAGAACTGGGATGAAACAAAGAAAGATTGGGTTTAGATTGAATATCAGGAAAAACGTATGATGACACGCAGAGTCCGTTGCGGGAACAGTCTCCCAAGCAGCGTGATGGAATCCCCAGTGCTCTGATACTATAAACGACAAGAAAACTCCCTGTAAGGAATCATTTGGCCTTGTCAGGGCGGTGGCTGGGTCTCAGACATAAGACCTCTGTTACTTCTGAGTGTGAGGTTCTGCCTAGCCCCTTATGTACGTCAATGAAAACGTAGGTCTCAACCTAGCAGAGCTGAGTGAGAGCTCGGTGGTGGGAGGGGTTCCCTGCCGATCTAACATTTCCCTCTGTGGCAGAGCACGTTCAGTGGGGTGCGCTGCGGAGCTGAAGCTACTGTCATGTGCAGTCCATTGTGCCAGTCTCCTGGCACTGAGCTTTGTGTGTGTGTCACTGTCTCTTTGTTGTTGTGCACACCTCACCATCGCCTCGGGGTGCCTTTGCAGCTGAGTGAATTGTTGGCAACGATAATAATAAATAGCACCTAGTTCTTTTTTAGCATTTTCCTCCACAGATCTCAAAGCACTTAACAAAGGAGGCGAGCATCATTATCCCCATTTCACAGATGACCATACAGATTAGACAAGTTTATTTTATTCAATTACTACAGATTACAGGCGATTAACCTTACTTCCCGTCCCGAGGAGAGAACTGCTCTGTTGATACCATGCCTCATGTCTCTGAGGGACAAGTTGCTCTTCACCTACACGAGAGTCCTTTTTCTCCACCTCATAAAGCTCACCTCGGAGACAGATTCTATGTGAGCTAGGTCAAAGAGTGACCTCCCTGCAGCCCTAATAGTCTAAATCTGTTAAAACAGCAATTCCAAACCAGTTGGATATGATCTGGGAAGTGCTCACACCCCATTGGCGGAGAAACGACAAAAAAAAAACAAAACCTGCCAAATTCTGTGGGAGCCAACGAGGGGAAGGAATGAGCAAGGCACTGTCTTCCTCCTGGAGCTCCTCAATCTTACAGCACTTACTCCCCCTCTCGCCCCCTTGAATCTGGGCGGTTTTGTTTTTTAATCTCCTTCCTCTGAAGCATCAGGGGTAGGCCTCAGCTGGAAATGGGATGTTGGATGGGGCAGGCCAGGGCTCTGAGGTGGTACTGAGCATTCTCTCTCTCAGATACTTGGCTGGCTGGTTCTTGCTCACATGCCCAGGGTCAAACTGATCACAATGTGTGGGGTGGGGTCAGGAAGGAATTTCCCTCCAGGTGCGGCTGACCGTGACCTCAGGGGTTTTTCAACTTCCTCTGCAGTGTGCCAGTGCATTATCCGGGTATGTCTCACTTCATCATTTCCCTGCCACTGCAGGGGCCTTGGGCACTGGTGCCCCTTGGTCCCAAAGAATGGCAAAGGATTGTGGGAGAGGGGGGTTGCAGCAGGCAACCACTGGTGGATTTGGGGTTATTGGGGTGCGTGTGTGAGGGGTGTTTGAGAACGAATGTTTAAAGGATGCTGTAATGACATCAGGACTGGGGACTACCTTGTAAATGATGCACATGGAGCGGGTTGAAAAATGGGAACGTTCTTTATGAAAAAATTGTCCCTTTTTGGGAAAAACGTTGAAATTCTTTGACCAACCCTAGCTGCTTGGTTATTATTCTCCCCCAACCAGCGCGGCTTGCGGGACAGCAGGCAAATGGCTCATGTGACACTGTCCCTATGATCTTAATGTTATAATACTTGGTGGGTTTAGGGAAAAGGTATGAAAATTCATTGAGAAGGGGTTTTTGTCCTGCTGTACATGTTTTTTGTGGGGAATGAGGGGGAATGCCAGGCTCCTCGATGCCTGACCTTGACAATCTTCATCTCCTTGGAATACACCAGTGGAATAAAGTCATTTCCCACAAAGATTTTTCTTTCTTGCCTAGGTCCCAAATTTCATTAACGCCACCCTGCCACCCCACGAGCGCATTACTGCCCAAGAGATAGACAGCTATTTCCGCCAGGAGCTGATCTACAAGCGCAATGAGAGGATGGGAAAGAGAGTGAAGGACCTGCTGGAGGAGTACCCTGACAAGAGTTTCTTCTTTGCATTTGGAGCCGGTACGTGCTAGACGAGCTCTTGAATTTGATTACTTTCTTCCTGCATTTTTACAAACTCTGCTTTCAAGCCCCAGATTCTGTTATGAATCCCCATGCAGAACTCACTGCAGGATCAGACCCTTTAAAGGCATAACAAATCCTCTTCCCTTAGTTAGTTCTTTAGCCGTAGACTATTATTCAAATTAAAGATACATGTGAACTCTTTGGAGCTCACCAAGGTAGGCAGGGTTGTTGAAGGTGCATACTTAGTTTACGGCCTCATGCTAGCTTAAGTCTGAAAAGTTAGTTGGTTGATGGGTATCTAGTTCAATCAGTAGTGCCAAGACACTTCCAATGAGATTGGGGCCCCCCTGTGCTATGTGATATACATGTGCATAAGGGACAGTCCTTGCCAGGGTGGATTTATTCAAATCAAAGTGATTTAAATCACCTGATTTTAATCGAGATTTAAAGATGCAAGCAGGAAACCTTGATTTAAATAACTGATTTTAATTGTGCTTTGCATTTGTACTTTTTAGTTATTTTCCTAAGTAACAATTGATTCTCATTGGTTGGTAACCATTAAAACATGCTGATTTACAACTAAATAGAACTAAATCTGATACTTATACTGTATCCTCCTGGTTAGCAAATAGATCTAGACACATTTATTTTTACAGTCTCAGAAAATGGTGAATTTTCTTATTTACTAGATGACTGATTTTCTACTCATGATTTGTGTTAATCATGGAAATTGGTACTCAACTAAAAATGCACAAAACCAGCATTTGCAATTTTTGTAATTACTTGACTAAAACTACATTAATGATGCTGGATACTAGATTCTGTGTAAGTTTACCAAAACATATTTTGCATTTAAAATTAACTGATTTATTAAACAAAGTATTATCTGTAGGTAATGTGTTGAACTAACTGTTTGTGATCACCACATCCTTCAAGATTTAAGAACTAACAGACCATACTTTCACACCTAGTTTTTATTCATAGACTGGAAGAGGAAAACAAGCATTCCTGCTTTTTCGGCTCCCAGTTGCTTTCTTAACTTTGAATGAACTAGTCATTGAACTGACCTAGTTGAATAAACTGAAATGAAGAAAATATTCTCTCTGCACTTGCAGAGCAGGCTGCTGCTGTCAAAAACTGGTTGAGCACTCTCTGGTTCCAGTTGCTGAGCCAGTGACTTCCACCAGGTCAGTGGTTGGACTTTCTTTAGCACTTGGCAGCAAACATGTAGTGCAATATTATTTTTTGCATTTAATTTAAATGGTGTTATTAGATTATAAAAGTGTGGGCCTTAACACAGGTTGTCAATTTCAAATTTAATTTTAAATGTTTATTTTTAATAATCAACTTGTATTTAATAAAAATCTGATCTAAATAAAAAAATAGATCTTTTTAATTAAAAAAACCCTTCATGTTCATACACCCTGGTCCTTGCGCTGAAGACCAGCTTGGCTTAACAGTGAAATCCTAGCAGATCTAAAACATAAAAAAGAAGCTTACAAGAAGTGGAAGGTTGGACATATGACCAGGGAAGAGTATAAAAATATTGCTCGGGCATGTAGGAATGAAATCCGGAGGGCCAAATCGCACCTGGAGCTGCAGCTAGCAAGAGATGTCAAGAGTAACAAGAAGGGTTTCTTCAGGTATGTTGGCAACAAGAAGAAAGCCAAGGAAAGTGTGGGCCCCTTACTGAATGAGGGAGGCAACCTAGTGACAGAGGATGTGGAAAAAGCTAATGTACTCAATGCTTTTTTTGTCTCTGTCTTCACGAACAAGGTCAGCTCCCAGACTGCTGCGCTGGGCATCACAACATGGGGAGTAGATGGCCAGCCCTCTGTGGAGAAAGAAGTGGTTAGGGACTATTTAGAAAAGCTGGACGTGCACAAGTCCATGGGGCCGGACGAGTTGCATCCGAGAGTGCTAAAGGAATTGGTGGCTGTGATTGTAGAGCCTTTGGCCATTATCTTTGAAAACTCGTGGCGAACGGGGGAAGTCCCAGATGACTGGAAAAAGGCTAATGTAGTGCCCATCTTTAAAAAAGGGAAGAAGGAGGATCCTGGGAACTACTGGCCAGTCAGCCTCACCTCAGTCCCCGGAAAAATCATGGAGCAGGTCCTCAAGGAATCAATTCTGAAGCCCTTAGAGGAGAGGAAAGTGATCAGGAACAGTCAGCATGGATTCACCAAGGGAAGGTCATGCCTGACTAATCTAATCGCCTTCTATGATGAGATTACTGGTTCTGTGGATGAACGGAAAGCAGTGGATGTATTGTTTCTTGACTTTAGCAAAGCTTTTGACTCGGTCTCCCACAGTATTCTTGTCAGCAAGTTAAAGAAGTATGGGCTGGATGAATGCACTATGGGTAGAAAGTTGGCTAGATTGTCGGGCTCAACGGGTAGTGATCAATGGCTCCATGTCTAGTTGGCAGCCGGTGTCAAGTGGAGTGCCCCAGGGGTCGGTCCTGGGGCCGGTTTTGTTCAATATCTTCATAAATGATCTGGAGGATGGTGTGGATTGCACTCTCAGCAAATTTGCAGATGATACTAAACTAGGAGGAGTGGTAGATATGCTGGAGGGGAGGGATAGGATACAGAGGGACCTAGACAAATTGGAGGATTGGGCCAAAAGAAATCTGATGAGGTTGAATAAGGATAAGTGCAGGGTCCTGCACTTAGGACGGAAGAACCCATTGCACAGCTACAGACTAGGGACCGAATGGCTAGGCAGCAGTTCTGCAGAAAAGAACCTAGGGGTGACAGTGGACGAGAAGCTGGATATGAGTCAGCAGTGTGCCCTTGTTGCCAAGAAGGCCAATGGCATTTTGGGATGTATAAGTAGGGGCATAGCGAGCAGATCAAGGGACGTGATCGTTCCCCTCTATTCGACATTGGTGAGGCCTCATCTGGAGTACTGTGTCCAGTTTTGGGCCCCACACTACAAGAAGGATGTGGATAAATTGGAGAGAGTCAGCAAAATGATTAGGGGTCTGGAACACATGACTTATGAGGAGAGGCTGAGGGAACTGGGATTGTTTAGTCTGCAGAAGAGAAGAATGAGGGGGGATTTGATAGCTGCTTTCAACTACCTGAAAGGGGGTTCCAAAGAGGATGGCTCTAGACTGTTCTCAATGGTAGCAGGTGACAGAACAAGGAGTAATGGTCTCAAGTTGCAGTGGAGGAGGTTTAGGTTGGATATTAGGAAAAAGTTTTTCACCAGGAGGGTGGTGAAACACTGGAATGCGTTACCTAGGGAGGTGGTAGAATCTCCTTCCTTAGAAGTTTTTAAGGTCAGGCTTGACAAAGCCCTGGCTGGGATGATTTAATTGGGGATTGGTCCTGCTTTGAGCAGGGGGTTGGACTAGATGACCTCCTGAGGTCCCTTCCAACCCTGATATTCTATGATTCTAAGAGCTGGCAGTCTAAATAGACAACACAGACAAAGGCTGGTAGGGGTGGGGGACAGAAGCACAGAAAGGGGAAGTGACGTGCTCAAAGTCACACCAGTAGATCTGTGGACCAGCCAAGGATAGAGCCCAGGTCTCCTGATTCCCAGCCTAGTGCCCTACCTACTGCCTCCCAGTTAAATTTGTCTGTAAACCTTAATGGCCACTGGAAAGAGAAATGCAGCTAAAACCACGCTCAAGGAGAGCAGCATCCTGTCAAGCATGAGATGCACATGACACATTCATCTGATCAGTGGATGTTGTTTCAGTGAGGGTGGAAGGTCTAGATAAGGAAAGGGAAATATTTATCTAAGTGCAGTAACAGCATTTACAGTAAGGAGAAATCCTTACGCATGCAGCAGGGAGCTCTGGTTATGGGCTATCTGCTTAGCATAACGAGGATCTCTCACACCGAGCAGGGCAGTAATGAAAGGCAGCTGATAGTACCTGTTCAGGCATGCATAAAGATTATATACATACCATCCTTCTGCACTAACACACTGCTGCATACAGCTTTCCACCGTGGAGAAAAGTGAATCAGACACAGGTTACTTGGGTTAGGGCATTCGGGTGTGTGACACAAGTTCAGACTTTGTCTGTCCTTGGCCTCGCCAGTACATATCAGCTGCCAACACCACTTTCTGAACTCCTGTCAGGTCGAAGCAGTGTGTGAATCCCTGATGGGTTCATATTGATAATGACAGCCATAGATAGGAAACAAACACCAGCCACAGAAGAAGGCATAATATTCCTTCCTCATGAGAAGAGCTAGTCCTTGCCAGGTACTGCTCCAGTAATTGGGTCATAACTGAACAGTGAATGGCCGACGTTCAAATGCAGAAGAGTTCACATGGACACAACTGTGAGCGTGAAAGCAGCTTGTCCCAGAAGCACGGTCCTCGAAGGAGTAATGCCCTCCCGGCAGGAGCACATGCAATGAAATGGGCAGGAATAAGCCAGACATTTCCAGATACCTATTCCTGAGTTTTCTTCCCTGTCTTCCATTTTGTTAGTTTATTTCTTCTCTCTCTGAAGACCTGTCTGCACAACAACTTACATGCAGTGTGCCAAGGTGTGAATCTACAGCAGAAATGTACATCAAGTTGTTTGAAACGGGAGTACGGCAAAGTGCCCTAGAGCAGTGCTACTCAAAGTGGTGGTCCATGGACCAGTGCCGGTCCGCAAGCCATCGGCTGCCGGTCTGCGCACACATTGGAAAAAAAAACACCAGTTCCCCACATCAGATAGCTTGAGAAGCACTGCCCTACAGAACTTTTAGTGCATGGGAGCAGAGTCTACGCAGCCAGTTAGTGTGCGGCAAGCTGGCGTGTTCTACATTCATTTAACACCCTGGCTTGTCATGCAGTAACTCATTATGAAAACAAGCCCTCAATTTATTTGCCACTGTCGTCATCTCATACAATCTTCTCTGGCTTCCTCAGTTCTCTATCTCTTCGCTCTCTGGCACCTGCCTCCCTGTCACTTCCCTTAGATTTTTAAAACCATTCCAAGACATCTTTGCTCTTCCCTTCATCCCTTTCTTCTCCTTCCTTCG